TCATTTTATATTTAATTGTGTACAAGCACATCATACTGTGACATTTTATATTTAATTGTGTACAAGCACATCATACCATGACATTTTATATTTGGTACGTTAATTGTGTACAAGCACATCATAGCGTGACATTTTATGTTTCGTACGCTAATTGTGTACAACACATCATACCATGACATTTTATATTTGGTACGTTAATTGTGTACAAGCACATCATACCATGACATTTTATATTTGGTATGTTAATTGTGTACAAGCACATCATAGCGTGACATTTTAGGTTTGGTACGCTAATTTCATGACTGTAGTGTAATTTCATAATTTTATTTTTTGCCCGAAGTTTACCAAAAGAAAAGTGCCAAATGGCATTTGCACATATATGAAAGTTTTAATAGCTTGTTTCTTCTGTCATATTTATATGAAATATTAATTTTCATGTGCATGCAGTTTAAAGTTAAGATAAGTTTGAGATTTATCTATTACTAACTTAACATAGCTGAGTGTACTCATTAACTAAACCTATTTACTGTCACACTGACTTGTGAATTATCTGTTACAGTTTTTTCTAACTATTAGATCAATCACGTAAGTGTGAAATTGTATTAGCATTGCACAAAATTACACAAATCCAGTGGTTATAAACTCTCAAGGGGAAGTTACAACCGTGTATTATTTGTGGCCAAAAGTTTAGTGTTTCAGAAACACTGTAACTTTAAACAGCACAGTGCCCTCTATCACTAAAAGGCAGAAGTTAGCCCTATAATTTCAAAGCAGATTTCATAATAAAAATTCTAATTTGAATGAAATCGATGATATTTCTTTCTCCTCACAAAAATGAGTTTTAAGTTTTATATTTTGATATTTCTAAGTCGTTTTACAGGATACCGTATGCCGAAAAGAAGTCGTCATCAACTATCACTATGTACCTAGACAATGAGGGAAAAATCCACTGCTCGGAAGAAATGTCTCCATATAATAATATTTCAAGGTTAGTAGAGACTGATTTGTGTTGTAATCTTCAGGTGTTTCATGTTTCTAGTTCTAGTACTTTTACTTGTAATGAGATAAACAGTTATAATTTAATAGTTTGATTAAGCTGTTTATTATCACAAAACTCAGACTGGTATGACATTTTAGTGTTGTTTAACTTAATCTGTTTAACTTGTGTAAAAATATCATACGTTTTTCTACCTGCTTTAGTGATAGAGGTTTTTTTTTTTAATTTTTCTATTTTTTTAGCTATTTTTTATTTCTTGTTTTTCATATTTATTCTTTATTTATTATTATAAAAGTAACTAAAATCTAAAAATATGAATCGTTTAAGTTATTTAAGACTAGATTAGGTAAAATAAGTAATAATATAATTAAAATGGTTTACGAAGCACGCATGTGAGCTGCACGTTCCCTGAGTGATTTGCAACTTATAATGACACGGATAGAAATGGTTCAGAGGGCAATAAAACAATAACATTTAATTATAAATAGATGTATACTGTTAGGAACTTAGAGCTACTTAGGATAAATGAATGTAGTTTCAGGTTACAATCTGAAGTCATTCTAGAAAGAAAAAAAAAAGGTTAATTTAGGTTTATTTTGATTTTTTCTTTTGTGGTTATGAGGTCGGTCGAACTGACCAATCCCATTTTGAGTTAAAGTAGAAAAAATAACATATAAACTATAAGGATTTAGTGAAAAATAACGTTTGAAATGCATTGAGGAGGTTTTAGGGATTACACATAGGAAATTTGATATTTGTGAGATGACGAAAAGTATTTTTAATTTTAACATGAAAATTACTTTGCACACGGACTATTCAAAACAAATAATCAATATATTCATGGACAAATTTTTATTTTATTTTATTAAAAATACTTCACAAAGAAATATGACTTTTTGTATGTGAAAGACTTGTAATATTACCTTGTAATATTGAGAGTTATAAGTATTAAATTTATAAAGACTTTAAATGAGTATAAAAGGTTACGTAACTCGGTCAAATTGACCGACCCCGTGTTGAGATAGTAAAACACTTCTATTGGTAACATCTCCTAACTAACAAAACTACATTTTTACTATATGTAGTGTTAACAATTGGATATGTCATGGTAACATATTCTCTACTTTTAATGACATTAAGTTGCTATTTTTGTAACTGTAAATGTACTTTAAGAAACATTAGGCCTAAGCAACATGGAACTGAAACTACTCTAAAGTGATTTTTAAAGGAAGTGTAAATAGATCTTCTGTAAGTTTATCATTTTTGCTGTTATTGTAGTCATTATTTAATTATAAATAGTTGCTAAGGTGGCTGAAGAATGAATTAAGGTGTTGTGGGCAAATGGTAAGGCTTACAGAACAGTTGAAAAATGGTAATTGTATCGGGCACAGAAGCTTGGTACAAAAACAAAAATGTAATAGAAATTTGATAAGGAATAACTTGTACAATCATGGGAAGAAGGAAGACTGTTTTCCTAGAGGCAACTTTTTCACATTCAATCTGTAATCTACTGAACAGTTTATATATTGTTTCATGCAAATGTTATGCCAAGTACCTCATCCTGCCCATAGAAGTGTGGACAGATGTTGCTTGGAATTATAGGCCAGCTCTATTCACCAAAGAATAACTCATTTTCATTCTTTTCCATAAAGAAATACCTGAGACATAGCATCTCCAATTTTGATTTAGTTTCCTCCTATTTTTTTGTTATTTGCACTAAAAGTACGGGGCTTGGCATGGCCAGATAGTTCAGGTGCTTTATTTGCAGTCTGAGGTTCGATTCCCTGTCACACTGAACATACTCGCCCTTTCAGCCATGGAGGTATTGTAATGTACTTTATCAGTGTGTACAAATAAACTTGCCATCAAAAACATAGTTAATACATCAAATTTTAATATTATGTAAGTTTTAAGTTCTTAATTTTGTAAGGAAATATTTAAAAAATCCTCTATCTCCCTTAGTATGAGAATTGTGACATTTGCTCTCTGGGTGTTCCATCTTCTCTAATTTATTTACCACCCCTCTGATAAGTATGGAATTTAATGTAAATTACTAATTATAATATAGCTATTACTCAGGCAAAGCATAATGTTTATAGTCTTCAAGCTTATTTGTTTATGGAGCCATAAAATAGAAAATCAGACCCACTTCCTACGCCCACCTGTCACATCCTCTCTTTCAAAAATTACATATATTTCTCTCTTATGTTTTATACTATTTTATTCATAATCAATAGATAGCCAGAGTTTTAACCTATCAAATGATGTATTATATTATGTTGTTTTCTGTACAAGGCATTGTCCATCTCATCCTTCAGGTTCAAATTTATTTTTGTGGGAATTACATCGATGAGCATAGCTGAATTCTTAAAGGCTCTTATAGCATAGTTAGAAAGTCAGAAAAATTATGATGGTTATAGAACATTGTTTGCTTTCTGCATGTTGTTATTATTCTGTGTTCTTAGGTGCATTATTTAATTGAAAAAAAAATTATTTAGGGTAATTGTAATGTTAGTATACAAAAAGTAGGCTTAAATATCATCTACAGTCAACATCAAAAATAAGAAGGCCAAGTAACTACTATATTCATCGTTTATTATGATAAAAATTAGAAACTTATTAGGTTAGATCAGGTAAGATAATGAAAAAAAACTTCTTTGTGAGGTATACTATGTGTTACGTAATTTGATACAGTATCATAAGCTGCACGTTTGCCAAGTGATTCACAACATGTGTTATGGGATTTTTAGTTAGATGTTGTTCAAAGGGCAATAACATTTGGTATAAATAGATTTATACTGTTATGAACTTTAAGCAACTTACAATAAACAAATGTAGTTTATTGCTACAATTTACAATCTTTCTAGAAAGAGAAAATGGCAATTTAGATTTATTTCCTAATATTTTATGGTGGTTACCAGGTCGGTCAAATTGATCAACCCCATATATATATACTTATGGTAGAAAAATTAACAACTAAAATATAAAGCTTTTCTGCAAACAAAAATTTGATATTTATTTAAGAAAATTTTCAAATGAATAAAAGTATTTTTAATTATAATATGAAAATCACTTTGTACTCAGAGCAGTCAACAGCTTTACTCCATATATTTACTGACAAAGCTTGAGTAAATGTTCACTGAAAACAAATTTATGAAGATACATTAAGTACTTTCACTGAGTTGAATTACATTTTACTTTCAGAATATAAGTTTTGGTATGATTGTTTCCTTTCTGTTCAGGGTTTCCAGAAGTACATAGTTGAATTACATTTTACTTTAAAAATATAAGTTTTGGTATGATTGTTTCCATTCTGTTCAGGGTTTCCAAAAGTACATAGTTGACTTACATTTTACTTTAAAAATATAAGTTTTGGTATGATTGTTTCCTTTCTGTTAGGGTTTTCCACAAATACTTG